TTTGAAAGAGTGACACAGAGAGAGAAGGAGAGGCAGAGAAAGGTCTTCCATCTGCTGGTTCACTCCCCAATTGGCTGTAACAGCCAGAGTTGTGCTGATCTGAAGCCTTGGAGCTAGGAGCTTCTTCCAGGTCTCCAATGCAGGTGCAGGGGCCCAAGGCCTTGGGCCATCCTCTACTGCTTTCCCAGGCCATAGCAGAGAGGTGGATCAGAAGTGGGCAGCCGGGACACAAACTGGTGCCCATATGGATGCCAGCATTGCAGGTGGGGGCATTACCCGCTATGCCATAGCACTGGCCCCAGGAGGCTTTTCCTGCTACGCCACATCACGGGCCCTAAGATTTATTTTAAAAGTCAGAATTAAAGAAAGAGAGGGAAGGGCAGAAAGATATATCTTCCATCTGCTGGTTCACTCTCCAGGTGGCCACAATGGCCAGGGCTGGTCCAGGCTGAAGTCAGGAGCCAGGAGCTTCATCCAGGTTTCCCATGTAGGTAACTGAGGCCCAGACAGTTTAGCCATCTTCCTGTGCTTTTCCCAGGCCATTAACAGGGAGCTGGATGGGAAGCAGAGTAGCCAGGACAGGAACCAGCAACCATATGGTATGCTGGCATCTCAGGTAGTTTTACCTGCTATGCCACAATGCCAGCCACCTCTATGGCTTTTTTATTCTACTTCCTATACCATATATGCTTCTGTATTTTTACTGTGTTAGTGTTTTTATTCTCTAAACATTTTTATTAAACCACATTAGCGGCCTGTGTCACGGCTCACTAGGCTAATCTTCCACCTGTGGCACCAGCATCCCAGGTTCTAGTCCCGGTCAGGGCACCGGATTGTGTCCCTGTTGCTCCTCTTCCAGTCCAGCTCTCTGCTGTGGCCCGGGAGTGCAGTGGAGGATGGCCCAGGTGCTTGGGTCCTGCACCCGTATGGGAGACCAAGAGGAAGCACCTGGCTCCTGGCTTTGGGTCGGCGCAGCGCGCCGGCCGCAGAGGCCATTAGGGGGGTGAACCAGCGGAAGGAAGACCTTTCTCTCTGTCTCTCTCTCTCACTGTCTAACTCTGCCTCTCAAAAAAAAAAAAAAAAATTAGCATTTTGTGACTATAATACTTCATCTCTGAAAGTCTTCTTTGTTGGTAATTGTTTGTATTTTATCATTCTCCTCTGTTTTGTTTTATTTGTTACAATATACCACTACCTCTGATTCTTGAATAATTCTAAAATTTTTTGTTTTCAAGTTTTTACTTCTTTTTTTTCCTTCCTGGCTTTCCTCCTTAAGGATAAACTATCTCAGATATATAAGTCAGATGCCACATGTTTATTTTCCAGTTTTAGAACTGTTATTATTATCTAGAACTGTTGTAAGCACTTCTTCTGTTCCTTGGCATTGTGATCATGTATATTTTAATTTCCTTCCTGCCATTTCATTAGTGTTTTCTGGAGATAGCTGAGGGAAAATCATGCCTTTGTTCCACCATGTTTGATTGGAAGCCTGTTTTCTTCTTATGGGGACCATACTAAAAATTTTGATTTAAATGACAAATAATGCTTTCAGTTTGGAGGTCATATCCTACATGAGGAATAATATTTATGAAAAATATGGTGAAATTTCATGGTAAACTTTAAAAATGTTTTTATATTTATCTATTTGAGAGGCAGAGAAACAGAGAGACAGAAAGTGAGCTCCCATTGGGTTTACTCCCCAAATACCCCCCAACAACTGGAATTGATCTGGGGACAAAGCCAGGAACAGGACAATAAGCAGATAAAGAGAGATGATTCCCATAAAGAAAGAATCATACTCATATGGTACAGAGCTTCTAATGCCAGGGTGATATCTTAATTTTGGAGATGATTTCAAGAGTGTATAAATATGTCAAACTTATTAAATTATATGTTTTATGTAGTTTATTGTATATAAATATGCCTCAATAAAGTTTTTATTATTATTTTATTTTGGAGACAGAGATGGATAGACAAAGTTCCCATCTACCCAGTTCACACCCCAAGTGCATACAGCAATACTGAGGATAGGCTGCAGCTGGAATCAGAAGCTGGGAACCCAATACAGAATTCCCTCATGGGTGGCAGCAGCCCAGTTCTTTGAGTCGTCATCAATGCCTTTGTGGTGTAACTTGCTGGGAAGTTGGAACTAGAACCAGAAATCAAATCCAGGTACTCTAATGTAGGACATGAACATCTTGACCACTAGGTTAATGCCCACTCCAATAAAGCCAGGTTTTTACAATATTATGTTGAGAAGTTTTTATACAATTTTATTCTTACTGGGAAATACTGCAGTTTTTATATAGAGAAATGATATACAAGTAGTATTCTGCTGCATGAAGGGTAAACTAGTAGCAATGTTATTTGAATCTAAAAAGGAAGTGATAAGGCAGGGCACAATACCTCATTATGGAGTATTTATCTAGCGTAAGCAGGCATCTTCGATGTTAAATTCTTAATAGAGCTACGATTTCTGGCTTAGAGACTGTTAAGAAAAAAAAAGAAAAACTTCAAAGTTTTATAAAGACTACGAATGAATCCCAAGAGGTCTAAAGACCTGAAATAATTACATAGTTAAGTCTTGTGGAAGAACATGGTGGTGAAAAAATATAAACACCTAAGTTTTACATGCTTTCCTAAGAGGTTGTGAATAATACTGCTCTTTTCCTAAGAGGTTGTGAATAATACCAGCCTACATCAGTAAAGCCCAATTCTGTCTTTTGTCCATACAAAATCAACTAATTCATGTGTTTATCTCATTAGATTAAATAAGATGGGTGGTTTCAGTCCCCACACTGCCTCAGAGTTATACTCTGTTCTGTATCAGAAGATCAAAAAAAGATTGTGTGTGCCTTCAATACATGCATATAACTACTTGATTCCAAAAATATGAGAGCAAAAGAAACTAAGTATTTTAGTAAAACATGAGAAAGCACAAGCCCGAGCAGGAGAATGGAATAAAAAGTTCTTAAAGGAAAGAAAGGCTCTCTGGATGTTTGCTTTTCCCAGGTTTTAATCTCTTGTTGTCCAGAGTATAATTGCAATATGCTATTTTAAAATATAATATGTACTCCAATAAGGTGAAGCTCTCTCCCTACATTCTCTTTTGACTAAAAGTAATTTCCAAGTATTTACATTTTTATAGTTTCTTGTATTGCACAAATAATTTCTCAATCAACTTACTTGAATTATAAAATGTATTTGGAGATTAGCTTGAAGTGACCACAGTCATTGCTAGTTTTAGATGCTTAAAAAGTCAAGTAAGGAATCACCTTTAAAAAAATACAAAACAAAAATACGGGAGTAGACATTTAGCCTAGCAGTTAAAATGCCTGCACTCCACATCAGGAGTTCCTGGATTTGCTTTGTGGCCCTGGCTCCTGACTCCAGCTTCCTGCTAATGCATACACTGTGAGATAGCAATGGTGGCTCAAGTAATTGGGTTGCTGCCACTCGTGTCTTTTTCCTCTTGAATATATTTTATCTTTTTTTTTTTTTTTTTTTTTTTTTTGAGAGGCAGAGTGGACAGTGAGAGAGACAGAGAGAAAGGTCTTCCTTCCGTTGGTTCACCCCTCAATGTACACTATGGCCGGCGCGCTGTGGCTGGCGCACGGCGCAGATCTGCAGCCAGGAGCCAGGTGCTTCCTCCTTGTCTCCCATACGGGTGCAGGACCCAACCACTTAGGCCATCCTCCACTGCACTCCTGGGCCACAGCAGAGAGCTGGACTGGAAGAGGAGCAACTGGGACAGAATCCGGTGCCCCAACCAGGACTAGAACCTGGGGTGCCGGTGCCACAGGCAGAGGATTAGCCAAGTGAGCTGCGGCGCCAGCCGAATATATTTTAAACTCTTTGGAAAAACAGAGTAAGTCCTGCCCATCTTTGGAACCCTAAAAGTACTTCATAACTAATGTGCAGTCAAAAATGAAAAGCCGTTTTTATTATTTGAAGCCTGATCTTCTGAACCTTTAAATAGAATGGTAGTAATTGAACAATTATCTTTTACCTTCTTTAATAAAAGAAGGTAAAGATTACTTCTATGGTCATACTATATATAAAGAGTCAATACCATACCATAAATAGATATGAATTTAATGCTATATATTATTTTTTATTTATGTGTAAACCTATAAATATAGAGCTTTAGAAAGTAAAACATAACTAAATATTATTTAAATTACATTTTCTACAGAATCTTGTGGGGGAAAGACAGACTTAATACCTTAATTTCATTAATAATTAATAATAAAAACAATAAAATTGATATGTTTACTTCATTGTTTGAAAGTGCTTTGAAATTTATTGTCTCATTTGATCTCATTAAGATGAAAAAAAACATAAAAGACATTATCCGCTTGTGATTTACTTAGTGACATTAATGAATATTAGAAAGATATATAGTTCCTATATGCTTGCTTTTTTATTATGAAGACCAGGGAACCAACATCATATGAAATAAACTTTTAAAGAATACTTGAGATAATTTTTAGCATAAAATATGTTATAGGAGAATGAGAACTACAGATGCTCAAAAGGGAAACTTTATCAGAAAATGTGGTGCTACTATAAGTTTGCAAGTTACATATTGCTTGCCTCAAACCTCAGTTTTATTTATTTTTTAAACATGTATTTATTTATTTGAAAGACAGAGTGACAGAGACAGAGGGAGAGATAGAGAGAGAAAGAGATCTTCCATCTGCTGGTTCATTCCTACAACGGTCTGGGTTAGACCAGGCTGAAGCCAGGAGAAAAGAACTCCATCCAGGACTCCCAGGTGGTTGGCAATATCCCAAGCACTTGGGCCATCTTCTGCTGCTTCACCAGGCAGATTAGCAGAAAACTGGACAAGAAGCAGAGCAGCCAGGACTCAAAGCAGCACTTGGATAGAGGATGCCAGCATCATAAGCAATGGCTTAATCTTCTACAGTACAATGCTGCCCCCTTCAACTTTATTTTTTTGTTGTTGTTTTTTTATTTATTTTCATTTTCTTTTAAAGACAGAGAGAGAGCTGAAGAAATGGAGAGAGAGAGAACTCTATCCAAGTCTCCCTTGGGTAGCAGGATCCCAAGCACCTGAGCCATCATCTGCTGCTTCCCTGGGTGTGTGTTAGCAGGAAGCTGGATGTGGATATCCCAAGTGGTGTCAACCACTGCAGTAAACACCCACCCTTCAAATGCAGTTTTAAACTCATTCTGATAATATTATTCAAGTGCCAACTAGATTGTGAGTTTCTTGAAAATAAAGCCTGATGGAAAGCCAAGACACTGTGGCAAAAAAAAAAAAAAAAAAAAAAAAAAAAAAAAAAAAAAAACACCTAAATCCTAAATCCTAAATGAAAGATCTCTGTGAGTGAGATCCCAGCAAAAAGAACGGGCCATCAAAGAAGGAGGTACCTTTCTCTGAAGGGAGAAGAGAACTTCCACTTTGACTATGGCCTTGTCTAAATAAGATTGGAGTTGGTGAACTCAAGAGGCTTCCATAGCCTTGGCAGCTCATGACAAGAGCCTAGGGTGATTACTGATGTCATAAATAAGAGTGTCAATTGTTAAATCAACAACAGGAGTCACTGTGCACCTACTCCCCATGTAGGTTCTCTGTCTTTAATGTGTCGTACTATGTGATATAACTAGTACTCAAACAGTACTTTATACTTTGTGAGTCTGTGTGGGTGCAAACTCTTGAAATCTTTACTTACTATATATTAAATTGATCTGTATATAAAGATAATTGAAAATGAATCTCGATGTGAATGGAATGGGAGAGGGAGCGGGAGATGGGATGGTTGCAGGTGAGAGGGAGGTTATAGGGTTTTAGAAAAAGCCACTGTAATCCAAAAGCTGTACTTTGGAAATTTGTATTTATTAAATAAAAGTTAAAAAAATAAATAGAGCCTGCTTCTTAGAATGGTTTACGATGCAAAATGTTTAATAAAATACTCAATGAATGATTAAGGATAAATGATAGAAGGGAGGATTACAAATCTAGAGGTCAATTTAGTGTGTGACTATGAATGTGTGTGTAAGTGAGTATGTATGGTAGGTAATGTAGACCACTAGTAAAATAATCTTTTAAAGAAAAGAGTATCCAAAAAAAAAAAAAAAAAAGAAAAGGATTAAAGAATGAAAGGAAGGTAGGAAGGAAGGAAGTGTAGAAGGAAGAAGGAAGGATATGGAGGGAAATAGGGAAGGAGGGAGGGAGGAAGGAAATATCATTAATGTTCTTAGAACTGTATCTATGAACTATATTGAATCTGTTCTGTTTGTATTAATATTACATTAACATGAAGCAAAGTATCAGAAGAAAAGTACTTTATCAACTTAAAAATAAAAAGAGTGTCTTGGGAGTTTGGAGATTCTAACAGGGAAGCACAACTACTTATATACCCATGACTGAAGATTGGTCCTCCTCTAGCTAGGAAGGTCGTCTTCAACCATTTGACCAAGTGCGGGGCTTCAGGAGAGACACACATGGAGCAGTGAGGGAGGAACACCCACCCAACCAACCAGATCAGCCGAATCAACGCTGGCGATCCATGTGGTAACAGATGTTGCAGCCAGATTGTCCTCACATCCAGGAAAAGAATGTCTCTTAATTTACTTTCTTTTGTAGACAGAGCCACCATTCCTACCTTGACATTATCAGAACAGAAAACTATGTTACATAGTTATTTTCCGTGTTAAGAATAAGATATGCTTTAAATGCTATTACAATTATTACTTTAAAAGGTTACATTGAAAAACATTAGATTAAAAATTTCCAGGTATTAGGAATTTTCTGAAGTTAAAGTATTCCTTTAAATATGTCTCAAATTTCCTATTAAGTAAAATATATATTAAAAATTAAATCTTTACAATGTTACCAAGTTTATATATAACATATATAACAAATATATTTCCCCATTTTTATACACAAAAGGCACATTTGTACTCATACTACATCCCTGTTTTGTGTTTGCTTTTTTTCATGGGGTATATCTTGGTGACTTTCCATATTAATAAATAAAGAATTTCCTCATTCTTTCTTTTATAGCAGTATCATATTCTACTTTAAGGAAATATTTTTGATGATCACTGGAAAGTTACCAAGCTTTTGCTGATAACAGTGTTGCCTTTTCCCACATCATTTCATTTGTGCCTAAGTATATCCATAGGATAAAATGAAATAGAATTTCTTTTTTAAAAGAAGATTTATTTATTTACTTGAAAAGCAAAGTACAGAGACAGAGACGGGAGGGGAGACACACACAGAGATATTCAATCTGCTGGTTCACTCTCCAAATGGTCACAACGGCCAGGCCAAGGTCAGGAGCCAGGAGCTTCATTCTGGGTCTCCCACATGAGTGCAGGCTCCTAAGCACTTGGATTACTTTCCACTGCTTTCCCAGGTGCATTAGCAGGGAGCTGGATCAAAAGAGCAGCAGCTGGGACACGAACCAGCACCCGTATGGGATACCAGTGCTGCAGGTGGCTTTACTGGCTATACCACAAAGCCAGCTCCTGAAATAGAATTTCTGAATCCACATGTAAATGTATTTATAATCTGGTAAATCTTGCAAAATTAATCTCCAACGGATTTGTACCAATATGTACTCAATGTGTCCTAAGTATATTTATTTAATAGTTTGCATGATGGACACAATGGATCATTTTTGAAATATATTTACTTCCTTTTCCCAGTGTGACAAAATTTAAAATCACAGAGAGAGAATAAGAAAAAGAAAGATGTTGAGAATATATCAGTTTAATAGTTTAATAATCCCTCTTGGATTTCCTTAATCGCCTGCCCACTCTGGCCTTCATAATCTATCAAATGGACAACTACCTCCCAACCATTTACATTTCCTCACTATAACACCTCCCATTCCTGATCCATCACATCCAATTCAGATTATTCTATCAAAACCTGTTGCAAAAGCCAACCTTTAGACAGTCTTATAATGCACACAGTCTGCTCTTTTTCCTACATAGCTCATTGCACTGGAAACTGTCACACATCCTTTGGGTGCTGCTGACACTACAATTTCAGTATCTCCTATCTCTGTTGGGCTTTTCATTGCTAATTCTCAATCCTTTGCTGGTCTTTGGTTGCCTCCCACCCTGTTCTTCGTTACACCTCATTTATCAAATGACTCTTCCTCCCTGCTTCTCAAAGAAGACACAGAGGCTCTGGGTAAACTCTATCAACTTCAGCTGCCTTTGCTCCACCTCCTCTCTGCATGCTGCACATGCTCCACCTCCTCTCTGCGCTCCCCAGCTGTGCTCTTACTTCTACTTCTCTCATCTCTCAGGGACATCCATTCTGTCAGTTTTCCTTATGTGAGTTAAAACTCTCACTTATTGCTGACTCCTCTGCCATAGTCTCTGGACATGTTCAGCCACTCCATTCTAACTACAGCCTTTCGTCATGTAGTGTTCCTCTGGTTTTTGCCTACCTCTCCCTTTTCCATCCCTCTCAGGCATGATTCTTATCTTTTAGCTCTACTTGCTTTTTTTCTAGCTTTTTCAAACCACTCTGATCCAACTTTGGACCCTTCTCCCCCAAATCCTGCTGAAATAACCCTTGCTGAGATTATCAGCAATCTATTTTTTATAACCAGTGAACACTTTTCTGTATGTATTACCTGACATCTCTGTAACATTGGCACTGTTTACCACTTGCTCTCATCTTGCTTTTCTTTCTTTTATTCTGACCAGACTGCTGCTGTCTCCTTGGATCTTCTTAATTCTGCTAACCTCTACCTATTAGTATGGAGATGCCTTCAGGTTTTACCCCTGTAACTTTTTGTATTTGTCTCCCAAAGGGATCACAATATTTCCCATAATTTTAGCTGATAAGTACATCAAGTACATTGACAAGTAATAGGCAAGTGGCCTTGTCATCAAGATACATGCTCTAAAGCAGAATGTATGGGTTCTTATCCCAGCTCTATCACTGTCTGGCTGATTGGGCAGCTTTCCTTGCCTCTGTTTCTTCAGCTTTAAATTGGGAATAACAATAGTATGCACACCATAGGTCATTAAAAGGTATGTGAATTAATATACTCTGAGTGTTTAGACACTGCTTGGCACAGAAGAGGCCCTGGTTAAGTGTTCATCATAATTACTAATATGACTGCTATTATTACTGGTGACTCACAAATTATCCCTATGTATCTCTTCAACTCTGCAGTTGGACATTGGACTGCCACTGGGCTTGTCCACAGGTATATTCTACAGCCACCTCAATAAAACATTTTCAAACCTGAATGCATCTTTTGAGTAAAAGTTTATTTGCTCCCTATATTCTTTTACTCCATGCCTTAAATGTGTATTATTCACCAAGTCACTCAAGTAAGAAATCTAGACGCTTCTGTGAAATGCTCCTCTCCCTTTGATCAATTTTCATCTCTGAAGTTGCTCACCAATCTTGTTGTACTGTTCATGGTCACTGTTTTAGTTAAGTCTTTATCAGCTGGTCAAGACTCTAGCCTAAGATCAAGTAGCCTAATTGATCTCACCATCTCCACCTCTCTGCTTTCCAGTGCCTCTACATGAACATGAAGATAACTATTTCTCTGCATGAACTCCTGCAATGACACTTTATCACTGTGTTCATTTGCTAAAATGGCCATAACAAAATATCACAGACTGGTGGCTTAAAGAACAGAAACTGCTGGCAGGCCTGGTTTCTTCTCATGTCTCTCATCTTGTCTTGCAGGTGACCACCTTCTCCCTGGGTCCCCACCTGGTCTTTCTTCTAGGTGCATACATACTGGTGTCTCTGTGTGTCCAAATGTCTGCACATAATTCAATCACCTTTTTAAAAGCCCTGTTTCCAAGTGCAGTCATGTTCTAAGGGCTTCAACTTAGAAATTTGGAGGAAATGTAATTCAGACAATAACAATATAATAATCCTCTTCAAATTAAGGATGAAGTTAGTTATATCACATAAATTCACTTATAACATGCTCCTTTCCAACTCCAATTACTTCTTTCTATTTCTCTCTGTCACTTTAAACTCTATGGACACCAAATTCTATTCAAGCATCCAATCTGTTTGGTGCTTTTGTGCTACCCATTCTCTTTGATTAGAATGCCCACTGTACCTCCATTCTTGTCACTGGTAAGCAGCCACTATTCACCCTTCACACTTTATTCTGAGACTTTTCTGAAATGTGCAAACCTATAAACCAGCAAGTGATATTTATTTTGGTTTGATGAAATTCCATTACTCTTTCTAAGTGTCCTAGTTTCTCAATATAGAACTAGAAACATGTATTTCCCCCCAGATGAGTAGGCCTATATATAGAGGAAACCAAGTCAGAAAGTATGATCTATTTCACAGGACCTACAGAGAGAGAGGAAGACTTAATGGGCTGGGTATGGGGAAGACTATATCTTTCCCCACTCCAGGCAGGGTACCATGAAGAAGCGAGAGTAAGCCTTGTCCCAGCAGACCTTGCCTTCTAGCATTAAGTGGGTCTTGTGCTATTCATTTAAGACAGCCACACCCTCTAAAGGATATCAGACTACTTGTATATGAGGGACCCATGTATCCAGTTGCCAGAGGCTGCCTGTTAATCCTGCTGAATGAGAAGCCAAACTTTCATCAAGAGTAACTAGGCATTCAGGAACTAGGCTACCCAGCCATGAGAAGCCCATTCATGCTTTCAAAATGTGTGGCTTAAAGCCAGCTGCATCTTCAGATTTGTTTTTAAATACCATATTTTTTTGTCTTTTTATTTATTTGTTTGAGAGGCAGAATAACAGAAAGAGATGGAGAGACAGAGAGAAATGTCTTTCATTCTCTAGTTCACTCCCCAAATGTCAGCAACGGCCAAAGTGGGACCAGGCCGAAGCCAGGAGCCAGGAGCTTCTTCTGGGTCTCCCATATGGATGCAGGGAACCAAGGACCTAGAATATCTTCCATTGCTTTCCCAAGCACATTAGCAGGGAGCTGGATCAAAAGTAGAACGATGGGACTTGAACTGGTGCCCTTATGGGATG